TTCTGTAATTCATCTAATAAAAACACGCAATGAACGAAATCGGAACAGGCCGATGATTAATAAGTCTTATTGTTGGTGGGTGCCGAAGTCATGCATTGAAGGCTTTTGAATTTGTATGGCATATTTTATATCTTTTAGTTTTGAATGCCACCATTCATTGCTTGATATTGGTACGGAAAAAGAAAACCGAAAGCAACCACAAGTCGGGAGTCAACGCCATCACTTCATTTTAATTTTTTTGCAAATCAAATTTTTATTGATCTGTGGGCCTTTTCTTTTTTTCGACGCTTTAAGACATTTTCATTTTTTCTCTTGATTAGCATAAGTCCACAATAATGGATCGCTCATCATTTGCAACAATGGAGACAACAGAAATATAATAAATACCTATGTGCTTCTATTTAACACTTTCCACTTGTGCCTCTTGTAAATCTCAAACTATGTGTCATAATTTATTTGGAATCGGAAGTGATTATTTCATTTTGTAGCTATAGAGGATTTTACAATCACTTTTTGAGGCTTGAAATTGTATTTGAAAGCATTGAATAGATATCACTTTGTTTATGTAATTCGTCAAATGACTCAGATCAATTTTGTTTTTTTTTTTTTGTGCGTACTTTCGTTCCTATAACATGAGTAATAGACAAGTTATTTAGAATAAATCAAATTTGTTACAAAATTAGCCTCTGGCAAAGCGTGTGATTTATTGGGCTCAATAAAAACTGGACGAACAAATGTTGCCTTGATATCAAGCTGTTTTTTTCTCTTCCTTCTGTCGGCTACAGTTCAAAAAGATACGGCATTTTTTTACGGATCAATGCATATTATCGGTTCATATCGAACTAGAATAACATTTTGCCAAATGCCTTTCATACAAGAGCAAATTCCAGTAAGATATATTGAGCGAGATATTGAATTGGTTGTAATGGTAATTATTCCGATACAAACAATTTACTTTCAACCGTTGAATTGGCCAAATCCTTTATTCCATTGCATTTGTTACAAAATCAAACGAATCCAGCATGAGCACTATATGCACTATAACAAATTCTACATGTAAATCATATGTTCTTTGCGTAGCATTATTACGCTTAGAGTAGATCACGTAATCCAGAGAATTCGAGATAGCACCGCCAGAGAGTGGCATAGCAAAGTGTTTCATAATTTCGTAAAATGGCGTAAAATATCCGATTATTGGGTATTACCATTCTAAAAATAAAACGATTTTAAATCGATAGTCAAATATTCAAAAGCCAAAAATCTTTCGACGCGCCACACAAACGACGATGTCGAATGAGATTCGACGAAATGCATAGTTTGTAACATTTAAACAATACTTTTAAATACCGATATAGTTCATATTCGTCATTTTTTTGAGATTTGCGTTTGAGAAAAATGTCATCACCATACCTTTTACAGCGATCGGAAAATGTTATCAAAAATGTATAAGGTCAGCCGAATATGTTTTATACACTCCGGACTCGATGTGAACCATTAAAAATGTCAAAAATTTTGCCAAATTTTCTTGTAAACATTTGAAAACTGTTTTGACTAGAATTTTTTTTTGAACGATTCGCATTCATATAAATAAAAATTCATTTTTATGGATAATTCGTTCGTCATTTCAAATTGTTGTGCATCGATTGAGCTGTGCTCAAATTGTCGGCAAAACTATGCATTTATTCTCACCGATTCGTTTGTGTTTGTCAAAATGTCACAATGTTAACAATGTGCAGAGAGATTCAAACGACTCAAGACCTTTATGCACCAATTGGCATTTAATAGAATAATAATGTTGCTGGTAAATTTCTCTTTAAACATTTTTCTTCTTCTTTTATTATTATGAATTCTTTAAACTAAAAAAATCGCCAAATGAAAGCGATTTCAGTGTCTATATCGGCGAATCAATGTTCAAACAAAACATTGTATTCGACTGTGAAATGGTACCATTAGGTGAATGCGTATCGTGCAATATGCGCTCTAGAATTATTTGTTTTGTCAAGTAACCACAGCTGTGTGTCGGTGAGTACTCATGAAAAATTGGCGATTTGATGTCGCAATGTTGTAAGTAGTGCGTGGAATTTTCAATGGTGGAATTGGTCATCAAATTCTTATAATTTTCCAATTATCATTAGAAAATTGATTCCGCATTGCATTAATAAACGCAACAAATTGAAACATTTCAACTATCAAATTACCCGGCAATTCCGATGGAATAAACATTTTCATGCATGCATTTTTATTAAACGATATTACCGCCGAATCCCATTATATTATATATGTGTATTATGATTATAGTATACACGATATTCCGAATCAATGGACAATTCATTATACATAATCGTTTTAAAATTTGTTCAAATTTGCTAGCGGGTGTGTTTGTGTGTGTTGTGTGTGCACATTTTCATTTTGCTTTGTATTATATTTTCGCGCCCGTTGTTCGTTCATATTAGATCAAATACGATTCGACGACCTTCTGGCCATCAATATGGTTTTCTTGAGAAATTTCTGTACTCTTTTGTTCATATTGTGTGCGCAATTCGATTTTGAGTTCATACAAAACGTGAACGTGCAAAAACGGTATGATCAATGCATTACAACAACGCACTTTACACCTAATGGCAAATGTCTTGTGCGAACTCAGATGATCGAATTTCAATGTCATCTGTCGATGAGTACGTGCCGATGAATCGTGCCCAATTAAATAACAAGATACAACCTAATCGAAAACCATCGAGATGTTTTCATTTATGGTGTGTATTTGTTCATAGTAGACTTGTTGTCACTTATGTGTGCTGCGTTTCATTTTATTTTTCGATATAGATTTTCACGGAAAGTCAATCATACATTTCACGAACTAAGATTGGTTCGTATTAGTCATATGAATTTGAAAATGTTGCTTTGTCCATAACATTTCAAGGTGAGTTGATCGGTTTGCCGACTTTGATTGGATAAACAAAACGTTAACAAAAGATCACATGCGATAAAGTCAATTGTGAACATTTCCATAGCATTTACCATAATCTAATTGGTTGTTTTGTTTATAAATAAAAATGTATGTCATATTAAAGAATCGATTTTGTTTATAATTTAGGCTCAAATTACTCAATAAGTATGGCTGTTGTTAGTGCAAAATGCATCCCGCGCTACGTATATGATATGAAAATTAAACATTTTATTCAAACTATTCTCAAATGTACGTAATACACGGATAATCGCTATGAAATAGAATTGACATTCGCTAAAAGCCAATGCGTTAGATCGTGCGCGTTCGTTAGTGTGTTTGGATTGCTGTTTTATTTTTCCTTCGCCCGGTCGATATAATTTAAATTAGTTTAAAATGGAAACGTTGGCAATTGGTTTACGTGCCGTGGCAAGAGACAAAATAGCATGGTAAATTTTTAATTTTCTGAATGTTTTCACATGAACATGCAAATGCACAACAAACATATTCAATTATTGTAAATTTACATCCACACAATTGCACTGTGGTCTGATCTCCGATTGATTTGAACGCGACCGAAACCAAAAGAACCACATCGTGATCCGGAGTGTTTCTCTTTTTTTCTATAGAATTTTAAGTAACTTTGCTGGTTGGCGTTTTGTGTTTTCTTTCTCTAATATGCTGTACATAATGTGTTAGGCCTGCTGTCACAAGGCTGTCCATTATCTGTTTTTTTTTTTAATACGTTTGTTTTGTTTGAAAATTTAAAAAAAAAAAAATTAACAAATTTACACAAATCAAAAAGTGAATTGTTGGGGCCATTAATTTGGGAAACTGGCGCGCACAACTCCGTAAATTATTTACATCGAAACGCGGCGTCCATTACATTTTTCTGTGTTTTTTTTTTTTTTCAAAATTGATTCGAATTTCGAAAGTAGCCATTTGTTTTTTGATAGCAACGAATACAAAGACATACACTCACAGAGATTTAACTGTGTAAGGATTGATCATTATTTCTTTATTTCTTTTGGCCTAATGATGCCAATCAATTCCATTCAACGTTCGAGAGAAGGATCGATTTTTTATTTAAAATTCGCAATATTTCAATGGTGCGTTATTTCAATGGTGCAGAGTTCGATAAACGTTGGACAATAACATCGACATGAGATATGCAACAAGAAAGCTGTAACATTACATTAAAACGAAAATAGAAGCAATAAAATAAACAGTTACGGAATACTTGTTGCATCTGCATCTCCATAAAATTCTTCTCATATTATAATTTTCACTTAACGCTCGCGTAACCGCGAAATTTCTTATGCAAAATGAATGAAAATTAAAACAAAAGCACAACACAAAACAAAGAAACAACGAAATAATAATGTTTAGCATTCAGGGGGCATGCTGCACACTGTCATTACCTCATCTCGATGTAAACGATTAAGTAATTTGACTCTGTCGATTTAATAAACAACCAAAAAAAAAACAACAAAACAAAAGCAAACAAACGAAATACAATTTTGCATTTATTTTAGAAGTGTCGATCTAAACGCATGCACCGCTTACAATCATAATACAAACACGATTGTTTCATTTATTACTGTCACCGTTGGTTCCAGTCAATGTTTCGTATTCAATTTGAAAATTCGATTTTATATCCACCGATTTAAAGAGAAAAAAACTGGTCCATTTCTTTTGTTTACCATTTTCACCATGATAAATTCCAACTTTCACTTTCGATCAGGTGACAGATGATTTTTTTTGATAAAAAAAAATATTTTGGTTTTTCTTTTCAGTATTGAATGTACACAAAAATGTGCCTCAATTAAAATCAAAAATAATAAATTTACTGCACGACAAATTTTTCAAGTTCGATATGAACAACGACAAAATTATTCTCAAGATTGTTTTTTTTTCCGTTTTTTTTGCCATTTGAGATTAAAAGAACGCACAAAACAATTCACACATTGTAAACATATATGAAACAATATTACTTGTCTAACGATGCAATGATTATAACCGTTGGATGAAATTTTTTTTTTTTTTATTAAATTACCTTTTTCTATGGAAACGAAGCACTTTGCACGAGATACACACAACCGAAACCGTATGCGTAGCAGAAAAACTAGAGCAAGTAGCAGAAAATTATATGATCCAACGAAAATGAAAAAAGAAAAACATAAGCGAGAAATAAAAACAAAAAGACGATGCGAACGATTCAAAAGCACTAAACCGACTGTTTCATGGAGAAAAGCATATCACAAATAATATACGGCATGATTGTTTATTTGGTCTCTCGGCTGTATTTTATACACAATGTACTTTTCGTATGCTGTCATATGCTAGTGTATTATGTCGATGTGTCTGTCTGTGAGCGCACCTTTCCTCATGCTCGTCGACTGGCATGGCATCGCATTTGATTTGGTCTACGCTATTTCAACAAGGTTTAATTCTTTTTCATTTCAACGCTCTTCGCCTTTTCGCCAAATCTTTTAAAATGCCAGTACCGCTGGTGCGGCTATGTGCAACTTTGCCATTTGTTTCTTATGTTCTGGTGCAAAAGATTACCTCATTTTTAAGTATAAGCATGTTACTGGCTCAATGGTTCAGCTAGTTTTTGTTTTAGAGCAATTAACGAGGTGAGGCACGAATTATTTTAGTGTGCAATGCAATATGAAAATATTTTTAGTGCGATCCTAATTTTGCCCAAATGCAGTTCAAATGAAACGAATGAATAAAAATGAAGAAAGAGAAAAAAAAAAAGTAAAAGTAACAGTGGCCAGACCACTTTCTAACAACTAGTTTGTATGTGTGTCGTGTGTGTCCTTTATTATTATGTCTCCAATTCAATAAAGTCTAACAACTACAGATAATTCACAACAAGTGATTTCAATATGCGCATCTTATTTCAAAACATATACACATATAAATAGCCGATGATAATGGATTATGTACGCACTCTGGCTATTTTCACGCTAGTCACACCAACAAAAACGTTAACATTTAAATATGAAACACACAATCATCATAATAAATGACTAATTACACCATGCGCATCAGTTACCGCCGTCTGCAGAAGCCGGTAATTTAGCTGTCCGTCTCGATTCACGTCGTGTTCATTGAGTTTTCTCTTTCTTCTCTCTCTCTCTCTCTCTATCTGTTTGTTTGTCTTTGTTCCGTTATATATTATACAAACATCTACATCCAAATCAAATGAAAAGCAGTACACTTAAAATAAGCAAATGCAATTGCTTGTACATGTATATTGAAGTAGATCTACTCGAGTTTATGGAATAAATTAACTTGATTGCCTACTGTACGGCGTTTGTATGAAATGACACAGTTTATGCATTTCACTTTGGTTTCAAAAACCGGTCCAATAATAACCATACTTTTGTTGTGCGTTTCTTTTTCCGCATTTTCCGTTCAACAGCGAGCTCCGTTAAAAATGCGATCATTGCAACGATATGACCAAAAGCCATAATTAATAAGGCACCCATTATATGTGGAACTGTTAATACAACCACTCGATTATCCCTTCCACTGGCCGCCTTTTCCAGTCTCTTTTTTATCTCTTCATTTGCTGCAATCCCTTGACTCAATTTATTCCAGCGTTCGGTTAGTCCGAATTCAAATAATTGTCGAATATTGTAATTGATCAACGGTAGCATATGATAGTCAAGTTTGATTGGCATTGCGATCGAGTAACTGTAAATATTTTTCGATCGAGGAAAACAAAACATATCGGATCGTGAAATGGCCTGTGTACAAAGAGTGCGAACAGTACATAAGAGACAATATAAATGAAGTACTACTTTTTGGTCTGGTCATATACTACCTGTGTATTTTCTGCATGCAATCGACTAACGGCCACAGCTAATTTCTCGTCATACTGCAAACGCTGCAAACATTCATCGGTATAGTAGCAAATTTTGAAATTCTTGCGTACTGACAGCGAAATCTGAAAATGAAGGAACAAAAAAAAAACTTGTTTAAAGCGCATTCACGCGAAACCATTTGCATTTATATTATTTGACATGAAGAAAATTATTATTATTACCGTATCATTGCCAAGATAATGCGACAACGCTACTTCACCGCCCGTGAACTTGAAATCATGTCTTATGGCCATTTCAACACTGCTGATTTGTTGCTTGAAACGTGGTCGCGTTAATATACCAATCAAAAAGGAACTAAACGATGAACTCATCACAATACCGTACGCAAATAAAAAGATCATCATCATTCGAATGGAAATACGTTGCGGATCATATGTTGCATACTGACCCAGTGCTTAAATTGAAAATTATTTGTTTGTAATACTGAACAATTAATTGAATTGAATTGAATTGTAGGTAATTGCATTACCTGATGCCAGTCCAATCATCAGTGTCCATACATAGCTCTCGGTTTTATTTTCAACACGAATTAATAGATAAATGATGAATGCATTGAAAAATACAGCCGCAATCAATGCGGCCCATGTGCTCACTGTATAAATACCAAAAATATTTTGCCAAAGATCTTGCGGTCTTGCCGTTGCTACACACCATGTTTGATCATCTTGAATGTATGGTATGGTAACCCAAAGTATTTTTTGAACTCGTGCATCATTATCCATGCCACCGATCAAGATATCGCTTTTTCTATAAGAAAAAAAAACGAACAATTATTGACGAAATCAAATCGAGCAGAGCAATCAAGATCATTTCATGTCTGAATTACTGTGTCAATAAATTTGCATAAATGCCGGTGTCGTTGCTGACAACACGATTTTCGCGGGTATCATTGTTGCGGACAAAAATTGGCGTCATTTTCAATGCTTGTGCAATTGTTCGAATCATCAACACCTCTAAACCCATATCAAACGAATTGCTCTCTTCATCAATGAAAACAAACGGTTCAATGATACTGCTTGAAATAAGCATTTCACAACCATGCAAGTCATTCGGAATTTTCGGTTTTAATTTATCAATTACGGTAATTATTGGATCGAATGGTGTTTCATCGGAATATTCACATTCTTCAATTAAATAGAGTTCGGTTACATTTTCCGCACAACTATCACCACTATACGGATAGAAAGTGTGAGCCTGTACAATACGTGAATTAGACCGATATGATATAACATTAACATTGATCATATGACGATTGAGAAACAATTGCAAAATTGATTTCATTTGTACGAAGAGCTCATCATCATCGTAAACATTAACAAATAATGCCACGACCTGTGCAAGTGGATTCCATGTTGGCAATCCATTCCTGTAAATAAAAATGAGATTAACTCTCAATTAAAATGCTCATTGTTCTTTGCTAAAACGAACCATTGATTGATTGCATCGATAATTTCAGTCATTTCCGCAAATACAACGAAATAATTTTTAGCCTTATCAACAACATGCAATGGATTTCCATGCGGCTTGGTCGCATCTTTTGTCATAACACCCAAATCATAGTTGGCATGTTCGTTCAACATGATAATCAATTCACTATGAAATTCTGTCATATTTTGTGTATTGACTATCACTAACGAACCAATCACCGCCTTTTCAGATCGAAAATATTTTTCGCAAAATTTTATTATGCACAAAATCGATGATATATTATGCTGAGCTTCCGGCAATTCTAAGTATTCCATACCATTACCGTCGCCATCACCATTTAGTCCACTGATTAGAAACGCACAATATAAAAGTGCGTAAATTACTAACGGAAACTTCATTATGCTCGTGCAATACACATTTCAACTCTTCAACGTTAAAAAAGCGTCTAGCTTTGGTTACACTTGAAAACTACGTTACCGTTACTTTCAATGTTATAAACAAATTGATTATATGACCAATTTAGAATTGTTTTCCATTTTTTATATTCAGTAATCACTTTCAAAATCTTGATTTTATTTTTTGAAAATTGCAATATCGCGTGAATATGCAGGTCGGAGTTTGTTTTGTTTTTATTTCGAATGTCAGTTATGAACGAATTTTACAAAACTACTGACCAAGAGTTACACATTCCGAATATTAGTTGTTGATCGATTTCTATTCAGATTTGAGAATGATAAATTGCCCTTTTTCCATCAAAAATATTACCGTTTTCAAATTAGGAATATTGCATTTAAATGAATAGGGTAACAGGTGGAGCAGTCCCAAGACACCAATCAAATGCACGCAATATTCAAATGCCACAGACATAATCCATCAAAACTTTTCTCTAGAGTATTGATTTGAACACACATATTTCGTCTGCTGAATGTAATGAACGAACCTTACCTCATTCGGAGGTCATTTTAATGTTAAATTTCACGAACTCGAAAATGAAGGCATCTATTATGCATTGGAGTCTTGTTTCTAAATTCAATTTTCTTTATTTCAAGCATTGATTGTTTCTCTTTCTTTTCATTTGTCAAAACAATTTGCATAAGCATTATGCAAAAATGTATTCAATTATGTGGTGCGGCAACAATCATTGGAAAATTGAAATCCGGACCAAAATTGCTCACATAACCAGTTAGTTAAGTTATCAAATGTCATGTTTTGTTCTTGAATTGACGTAAACAAGTTTATGTGTTGGACAATGACCATGAAATCAGATTGTTATTGAATTTACGGTCATTTTATTAACATAAATTAAATTAAATGATCACAAGACAAGAAAAAACCACCAACTGATTGTTTGATTTGAAAAAATGCGGCGTGCTTTGGAATGTCACTTCATATTCAGAATGACATATAATGCTTTATTTTGATTTTATATTCTCTATTTCAATTGAACATTTTAACATTATGACACAATTATCGTGTATTTTCTCAATAGAGCCATCTAAACTTGTAATGCTATTGAATGTGGCCATAATTGATTCCTTCGTATTAGAAAGATTTTGTGCATCATTAAGTGCTTTGTCCACTTTGCTGCGCAATTTTGAACTTTTCTCTTTCAAATAGGCAAGATTTTTGTTAACTTTTTCTACAAGTTTCTTATTAATGGTCTTTTCTTACCTTTATCACTTCTATGAAGAACAAATTTTGCTAATATTTCATTGATCTTTCCTTGGTTTTCGATTGATTGTGTTTGTAAAACGTCCAAATTTTCAATGTAAGGAGTAAGGACCATCACCCCAAAAATAAGAATACATAGGATTTTTCATTAAATCTAATAATAAATATTCTCCTTGATGCTCTGAAACTGGTTGGACAATGTAAAAACCTGGAGCCTTACTTCATAGCGAGCAAACATTGGCATTAACTCGTCTCCCCAATTTATCATTAGATTTGGTGCCGCAACTTTAGCCTTACTATCAAAGTGGTCAATTACCGTTTTATAGGTGGTTTGACTCACTGCCTACATGAAAAAAATTAAATAAAAATAAATATTTTTTTACTATCATGATCTTCATAATTTGATATCAAAAACGAAAAATAAAAAAAATGCTTTATTCAAAATACTGAAGTCAAACTGAAACTTGTAGCTTCATCATTAAGGACAGAGTATGAAATCGCACTTGTGAAGAACGCGCCTGCTTAGCGAGCCTTTTCTTGTCAGTAGCGGCACCTGAGTTCGTATTAGTATACAGTACACACTAATACAAACAACGTTAGTCACACTAACACATTCATAGCTAGGAGCGGCTCCCAGCAAGCGCGCTCTTCATGAGTGACAAATTCATGCTCTGGATTAACTTTATATACATTAGAAAATTGTAAAAATACGAGAATATCATTGCATATGTGAAATTAAATTCCAATAAATATTTGTTTTTCTTCAAATATAACGGCAAGGAATTTATTCCCAAGCTACGTAAACAAAGATCTGTTCACAAGTTATATACATTCCACCTTTCCAAACTTCGTTACGATCAAATTTATTCAATAAATATAGCAAAAACTAAACTGCTATTAAAATTGAATGTGTTATTTTCAATTTTTATTAAACTCTATTAACTTTATGCCCAAATTGAATTTGAGTTCACTTTTCAGTAACATTACATAAATTAAATGGAATGTTTTTTTTTTTTTTTTGGTGCAGAAAAACCGCTATTTTTTCGGTTTAGCGTGGAATTTAAAGCTGAATTCCATTTGGTGTTTGTAGAATATCTTTGTATTTATGTAGAAAGTCATCCCAAAATTGAATGTATTTGATGTGTGGATTGGTTCCAACTATCGGTCCGTTGTTTGTCAAATCAACATAGTTCACAGCATCAACGGTGACGGGTTTCACTTCGATGGGATCGTTATTCGGTATGGGATTTCTAAAAATATAAATCAATGGCATTAGTTTTCAGTGTGTGTGTGTATATATGTGTGTTGCCCTGATTTCTACAAACTTGAAAAACAAATATGTTTTTTTTACCCGAATTTTACGAAATTCGTGAAAAATTTCACGATTTTTTTGGTCATTTGTCCTTCAGGCGTGTTTAATCGAAAGTCATCATAGGCTCTACTTTCTGGTATGAAGGCGTCCATTCTGAATAGATTTTTGAGACAAATGTTCACCAGTTTATCATAATGCTTTCAGAGAAACTGATTTACCTGAACAAGTAAAGCATGTCTTCAATATGCGTTGCTCCAGACAATCCAAGGGTTGATGCATTTGCTGTTTTTCGAAGACTATTTAACTCAAGTTCGACCGAAAATCTAATTTCAGAATCGGAAACTTTTAAATCCATCAATATAATTGAAACAAATAAACAACAAAAAAGAAAAGAAATGGCAAAAACAAATAAAAAAAACGTAACAAACTAACTGATAGCAGAATGTTTTTCCGGTTGAACGTTTTGCCTGCGCTTTGACTGACTTATCAATTCCATAGATGAAAAAAACGTCGGACAAAAGTTTTACGAACTCTTGCAATGAGTTCGCATCAACCGGTTTATCGCCAAAATAGAATTGCCGCACATCTTTAATCATTAAAAAAAAATAAACAAAAAATAATAGGTATAAATGAAAAAAAAATTAAATTAAAATTTTTATTAGATAGAAAGTTTTAAAATGTAAAAAAAACCTTTAATCATGTTGTCGTAGTCTTTCGAAAAGTAACTATAATTAAGATCGATAAGAGGCAATTGCACTTCAAATCGTTCTTCGAATGTTTTCAATCCGTCCGGAAAATTTATATCAGTCGGAGCTAAAATGATTGATTCCTGTGAGGCGACAATGAAAAAAAAAAAACAGAGAAAAACATTCATAATTATTTGTAGTGCTTTACTTATCGCACACATTTCGTGAAGTCAAATGAAAATGAGGTCAAATTTATTTACAGCGGATGTATAGCCAAACAAGGAATCAATATCACTTTTTTCATCCAAATAACTTTCAATCGGACGGGTTAACAGCGCATCGTCACCCGTTTCAACTGTCAAATTAGAAATGTTATTTTATTCAATCGAAAATAAAATGATTTCATTCGGCTCATACTTTCAATTACTGGAGCCCACACCAAGTCGATTTCCTTAATACTTTTACCACTTTCGTACACCGGAGCAAATGTTCGTTCGCCAAATATTGGACCGTCGACATTTTTTAAGTACTCAACAATATCATTCAATGAAATATTCTCGATTGGCGTTGATTTTTCGTCAGCAATCAATTTTTGTAAAATTTGCGTGTGATTTTTCTTACTATATGACCATGGGCATAACATTGATCCGCTACTTGCAATTGCACGTTTATAAAGACTTTGAGTTTGTGGAATTAATGTGAAGAGATGAACAGAAGAGGCGCCCGTACTTTGGCCAAACATTGTTATGCTATTTTTATTACCTAAATCGAACAATTCAGCGAAAAAATCAATAGAAAATTATTGAACCCACTTGTACTCTAACAACACAAGGCACATTAAATGTTATCATTTACCTCCGAAAAATTCAATATTATCATTTACCCATTTTAAAGCGAGCAACTGATCTTTCAAACCCATATTACCTAGGGGAGGATCACAAAAGAAAAGAATAGAATTAATTTAAAATAATCGACAAATAATCGAAATAATCGAAAAAGAATCAATAACAACTATTAAATAATAGAAGGACAATTTTTAAGTGAATTGCCCCTAGCATATTACCCGAATAATCCGCAGTATTCAAAGACAAAAAACCAAATGGACCAAGTCTATAGTTTATCGTGACCAAAACAATATCTTCGTCTAACAAAATATCGCCCGCATGCCAACTGCTACCACCCTATACGATAGTCATCAATTAAATCCAAAAGAGTTAAGCATTTTGCAGAGACATTACTTACACTCATATAACCGCCTGGAATATTATGGTAATTGAAAAAAATTGGAAGAAATATTGGCCATTCTGAACGATAAAAATACAACAAAAAAATCTTTACCTCCATGAACGAAAAATATAACAGGCATTTTTTCAATTGGTGTTAAATCTGTTTGTGGAAAAACAAATTTCGATTCTTTTTATATTTTTCGAAAAATCCAATAATAAGTGCTAACTTACTAGGTGTGTAAACATTCAAAAAAAGGCAATTTTCTTCACCTGCAAATCAGTAGAAATATCGGATTTTAGCGGATTGCACGTGGAATTTTTGGATGTTTGACCAATCTACTTACCCCAAAACTGGGACAAATTAAATGTAGTTTGCAAACACTTTGAACCATATTGTGTTGCATTACGAACACCTACCCATGGTTGAATTGGTCGTGGTGCCTGAAATGTATATGGTTGTCGTTTGAAAAAAAAAACAACATCTGTTAAACACAGATTCTGTTTACAAATTACAATTATCAGGAAGAAATTTGCAAATTTTCTTATCGTAATTTCGCAAGCGATTCATTCGAAATAATTTACGCGATATAGCTTCGAAAATGATGTGTCATTACACTTACACGAAATCGTAGTGCTCCAATGGGTGCCTCAGCGTATGGAATACCTTGAAATGAATAAAATTCACGTTGGTCCAAAAGAGTTGTGTCTATTTTGCCAAGAAGTTCGCCGCTTTTTGTTTTAACTAATGGCCATTCAGTTGATTGAGTTTTTGGTGCACAATTCACACCAAAATATATGACCGATAGCAAAATCAGCAAGTGCTTGAACGACAACATGTTTCACATTCGCAACAGTTTAACGTAATCTAAATCAGTTTACTGACAGACAATTTACTTTACCCCAAAAATTGATGTTAACGCGCGTCTACGAACTGAATGATAACACACAGTTTGCAAGTATGTACGAGGCAAAAGGAAAAAGAATTCAATTGATAATAATAATTCGTTTGCAAAATTTCCTTCAACAAATTCATTTCGATTGGTGTGGTGGCCCCGCGTACATAGCAATGTTGATACAGAGTGCGCGCGCGAATACATGCAAAACAAAAAGAGTTTTACGTATGATTTTGTTGTTGCCTGTTGTCATAGCAAATCAAATGAGTTATCTGTGAATAAGAAATAGCAAAGTCCTATTCAAGAATTGCTCAATTATTTTTATTATTACGAGACAGTAGTTTCTCAATGGAATCAGTGAACGCATTACTCACAAGTTTTCGAGATATATGTAATTATTTCAACAGGCAGCGTCATGACGATGGAAACGACAAAAGATCACTACAAAATGGGCAGCAGCAGCAATTTAATTAAAATATAGTTTATTGAAGTAGATTGGATGCATGTATTTGATTTCCACAAAAGCTAAATACATCACGAGCTATTTGCACTTATTCATTCTATCAAATGCGGCTGAACATCAATTTTCATCAATTGAAGCGAAAAAAAAATTTTTTCGTTTGAAATCTAAAATTAAACCAACCATTGATTTGTGCATTTTTTTCTCTGTTTTGATTTGCATATGAAATTCCATCCAAACGTAATAACTTGAAAAATATTCTAATAAATGTGGTGTGGCAAAATGCTCAGTTTTAATAATAATTGGGCAATTTGCCATGAACGTATTTAAGCAGTACGGTGATTTCTCATAAAAAAAATCGAATAGAAAACGAGCAAGAGCTAAAAATAAGCGGGCGAATTATGCATTGCATGTTTCCTTATGGCCATTGATGTTTAACGAAACCTATTAAAAGAACCGATATTCCGTTTTCATTTCTTTCTTTCTTTCCTCTCTCTTTCTTTTTATTTGCTGCGCATCAAAAGAAACTCAGTTTTCTTGGTATGAATAGATTACACAATTTTATTGCAACTCAGTGGACATATCATGTCATATATAGATCTGTTAGATGTTTGCCAAAAGTTAAGTTACCACTTGTTGTTTGTATTGTCGTGCAATGCATTCAAAAACAGAATGAACAATTTTAATGACAAAATGTTTTGTTTTTCTTTTATTTTGATTTTACAGTCTTAAGAATTTAGATATGACTCTCATACAATGATAAATTTATTTACAAAAGATTTCTTCCTAACAAAATTTGGAACAAACATTATGGCTTTTTTTATTGATTTATTTCATATTCATTTCAGTTTGATTGTGCAAGTTATTGTCATAAACAGATCAATAATGAATGACATATTGATATGAACAATGATAGTGTTAGCAATGAGCTTAGAAACATTTGCGGTGAACGATTCCTGGACCGCTTTCG